GTCTTGCTGAAATGTCCAGCCACGTTTCATCTTCATCATCCTGGTAGATGGAAGCAGATTTTTTTTAAGTTTAAAGCAAAAGGAACATCTTCCATATAAAATTTCTTTTTTTGTGTTGAACAATTTTCTAATGCAAAATGTAACCTCGCATAAAATTATTGTAAATAGTATTAACGAACATTCACATGAAACACTATAATGTTTTTAAGATTTGCTTAAAATCAGCAGAAATCCTCTTTAGGAGTGGATCCAGTTCAAATGACATGCTAGTCCAATTGGACCAATTTCTAAATTGGATTTTAAAACTATTTAAAAAACGATCTAATCTTTGACGTTTCACTTCATGCAAACTCTAGTTTTAAACGTTTACACACTAACAGTTTGCTAAAATATGGGGACAATATATGTCAGACACCTTTCTGCTGCTGCTGATTACAAGTATAATCCCATAATTGCATATAAATAACTGTTCAATTTAAAACTGATGGCTGTGTGCAGTTTCATAAAACAGCATTTGAATGACCTGCTATTATATTATATTTTGGAATTGTTTAATAATGGCAGCGATCTACAATTAGTCTTCGACACGTTTGTGCTATCCTGTCAGATCTAATCTCTTTTTGTTCAAAGTGAAGTAATCTAAAAAACAATCTGCAACAGGCATACGGTACTTTACAACACCACTTCAAAAATGGCTGATTTATTCCTTATAAATCTGGCCTAGCGGTGTAAATGCACTTCCCTTTATTTCACAACCTTCTCTGGTTCATAGTGACAGTATAGATATTGCTTTCAACTTTAATTTAACAAAAGCACATGATTGATCTGTAGAACTATATCACATTCTTGTTTCAGTGGGGGGAGGTGTCGCTGCAGTATTTTTTATGTGCTGAATCTTTGAGGTGTCTGGCCGCTGAGTTTGAGCCTTTCAGAAGGTTTGAAAATTGGGTTTACTTAGCCGCATGCCGTTTTGTTATTGCCGCAGAACTTCTGTTTGGTTTGTTGAGTGCAGGCTTTTGTTGCTAGCGTTGGCAAACAGTTCCTCTTGCAGTGGATCTAGGTCCTAATCCAGTGCTCTTCAGGATTTCAAGTTGGCAGACCACAGCCATGATGGCAACAGTGTTTTATCATTATTAGGAATTTTATTTACCACAAGAGTCAGCAAAAAGAGAAAGGGTTTGGATTCATCTCAGATACGAAACAGGCTTTTATGCGAAATGACTGTTAAAACTCTTGACAGCGGCACCTTCAGCAGACTGGATGTTTTCACATCACACACAGCTGAGTGGAGTCTGATATCTTCAAACACTCTGACTAAAGTTGTCTCTAGTGGATGTCTTCTGTTTTATGTGTGCTGCACAGTAATTACCACTGTGGCACCTATAATTATCTGAAAGTGTGTAGATTTGTAGATATGTCAGACGTTTGATTACAGAGACTGGCTCGTATTCTCCCTGAAACACGGAGCTGGGAGTTTGTCAAAGAAAGGCAGGGCCAGGAGTTGAAATCCACATATTGACGCCTTCATAAAATAATAGCCAGTGGTGGGTACAGCTAACCAAAATATTAGCCACCGCAACGTTGTTCTTATTTGTGCTAACTGGAAAACGCTGAATAGAAATAAATTTAAGGGACGCTAAAGCTAAACGGCTAAAATTTAACATAGTAATAGCCAGTCCTCTATGTGATACTCAGTGCAAAACAAATCCATGTACGTTTGTTTTTTCCTGTCAAAATGAAAAGAATAATTGTGATTTTGTTTGTTTTAGTTTTAAAACTAAATTAGGAAAACAATTTCAAAATCGAAAAGGACTATTTTATTTTATTTTTATTTATTTTGGTTTTTCAGTGTAATGGTTAAAGCAAAGGCAACTTTTATACTTTGTGTAACTTTCTTGTGGAACCATAAATCATGGCCTGAACTCCTGGTGCATTACGTTTTCACTGAGCACTTTAGAAACGGCCTTTTTTAGAAGGAGTTGATGCACCTTGAGAGACGTTTTACAGTCAACAAAATTGAATTAATATTCCAAGTGGCAAGGTAATCTACTGAAAACATATAGCGGAAGTAACGTCCATTAATACATAATAAAATCAATGCAAATGCTAAACCTCTCAGCAAAATATTAGTTCAGTCAGTTAGCAGATGAGCGGAACTGTGCCCACTACTGATAATAAAGTATTAGTATTAGATAAAGTATTTAGTTTTTAAAGGGATCCATGATTAGTTGTAACATTAAACTTTATTTGATAAACATTTATTTTAACTGTAAAATAAATACTGTAAAAATACTGTAGATGTTTAGTT